ATAGACTTTTTGTCATCCTTTTAGCTACTATAGTTTCTCTGTTGATTCAGTTATACTTTATATTTTATAGATATATATCCGTGTGGCGCTGTGGGTTAATGCGCCAGACTACAAAGCCCGTTTGAACTGCAACGTTGGCTGTTCAAGCTCACCATCTGCTCCTTGGAAACACTATACAGGGTCGCTATGGGTTGGAATTGACTCGACAGCACTTGACAACAACAACAACATATCTATATAATAGCATTTTGTCTTTTCTTTTTGAATATGTTTCTTTTTCTTATCTTATGGCAAAGTGGGTTAAGCATTGTTCTGCTAACTGAAAGGTCAACAGTTATTTCAAACCCATCAGTCACAACGCCCATAAAGATTTACTGTTCACAGGGTCACTCTGAGTCATAATAATCTCGACAGCAGTGGGCTTTTAAGGCATGAACTAGGATCATGTAGGTCAGTACATCCTGTCTTTTTCTCAATTTTTATAATAGCATTTCAGGTTTGTTAAAGCTATCAGGTCAAGTTTCTTTATTCCAGTTTGCTAATCTTTTTTTTTTTTTTTAAATACAGTTTCTAATTATTTTAACTTGCTTAGAAAGACACCAAAAATGACTGTATCAGAATATATTTATTGTGAGTAGATATGATTTGAATTGGGACTGCTAACCACAGGGTCAGCAGTTCAAATCCACCAGCTGCTCCATGGGAGAAAGATGAGGCTTTGGCTCCAGTAAAGATTTATAAACTTGGAAATCATATACAGGGTTGCTATGAGTTGGAATTGACTAGATGGCAGTTGGTTTGGTTTCTGGGGGTTTAGATACCAATTGAATTAGACAGAGAGGTAGTGACAGAGGGTTACATAGGTCATTGTTATGCTAATTTCAGGAGATAGCATCAAAGCACAGGGCAGGTTATGGAAACTGTCATCAAGGGCATGCCATATACAACAACCTCTAGTCAGACCCTGGAGTCCCTGCTTCTTGAAGATGGCTGCCTTAGATAACTTTCTAAAATAATCCAATGCCTAAAGTCAAATGGTCTCCACTAAGCTGTTTACTAAGCTATTGCTTCAATAGCTTCAGACACTTCAGAAACCAGTTTCTACAAGGCTCAAAAAGACACAGATGAACTATGTTATAGTTAAGGTTTTGGGCCCAGATTCTCAGTGGTTTGACAGTAGTGGTAGAGGCATAGTAATCTTCCATGATGAGATCTAATGTAATGTAGATGAGATCTGCTGTGAGCACTCAACTGAAAGGATGTTTTCTCAGTGGGTGTGTCCTCTTTCCTATTTATTGGACATTAAGAAAAAGCTAGCTTCCTTTCTGCTGGGCTAGATCCTGCATCTAGCTCATCATGTGACTTTCATTTCTTTGGCCTTGAGTCAGTGAGTTCAGCAGCCTGCCATCTTACCTGCCAAACTTGCTTATCTGCTGTTTGACCTGCCAAACTTGGTTCACGGACCTGAGACTTATCCAATAACATTTTGTGAGCCATTTCCTTGATAAAAACTTCTTTGTATGTATAAGTATATAAAAATCATTAGTTTTAATTTTCTAAAGAACCCAGCCTAAGACAGCCTTGCTTGTTCACCCCATTTCCAGGAACCCTGAAATCTGGATTTCAGGATAATAAAAATGATTTTGTCACTTTCAATGATGAATTTTATTTAAATTAGCACTATCAATATGACTGTAGAATTTTCTCTTTTTAAGAATAAAATTATTGAAAGGTTACAAGTTCCTTTGTTTTTAAATCCAAAATGACATTGTTTTTGTTAGGTGCCATAAAGTCAGTCCCATGCATAACAGAATCAAATACCGCCCAGTCCTGCTCTGTCCTCACAATCTTTCCTATGTTTGAGTCCATTGTTGCAGCCATTGTGTCAATCCATCTCACTGGGTGACTTCCTTTTTTTTTCATTGACCCTCTCTACTTTACCAAGCATGATATCTATTTCCTGGGACAGGTCCTCTATGATAGTATAGTAAAAGCACATAAGATGAAGTGTCACAATCCTCTTGTCTAGGAAGCATTCTGACTGCCCTTCTTCCAAGAAAGATTAGTTGGTTTTTCTGGCTGTCCCTAGTACTTTCAAAATTCTTTGTCAAAACCACAATTCAAATTATCAAAATTCTTCTCCAGTCTTCCTTATTCGTTTTCCAGCTTTCACATGCATATGAGGTGACTGAAAATACCATGGCTTCCATCAAGCCCATCTTAGTCCTTAGAGTGACATCTTTGCCCTTTAACAATTTTAAAAGGACACTAAGAAAAAGGATGGTTAAGCTTCGTCTCTCATACTTTGGACATATTGTCCAGAGGAAACAGTTGCTGGAGAAGGATGTCATGCTGGGTGAGGTGGAGGGTCAGAGAAAAAGAGGAAGACCCCTAACGAGATGGATCAGCCAGGTGGCATCATTGATGGCGTCAAGTGTGGCAGCGGTAGTGAGGTTGGCCCAGGATCGGACATTGTTTCGTTCTGCTGTGCATGGGGTCGCTATGAGTCGGTTCCGACTTGATGGCACCTGACAACAACAACAAGAAAAAGCTAGCTTCCTTTCTGCTGGGTCTAGATCCTGCATCTGGCAGATTTCCTATGCAGATTTCCCTAAAGCATTATGTCATTTGATTTCTTGAGTGCTCCTTCCATGAGCATTGAGTTTTGACCCAAGTAAAATGAAATCCTTGACAATGTCAATCTTTCCTCCATTTATCATGATATTATTTACTGGTTCAGTAGTAACAGTTTGTGGTCTTTTTAAAAATATATATACATTGGTTGTAATACATACTGAAGACTGTTTTCTTTGATCTTCATCAGTAAGTGTGCTTCAAGCAAGGTTGTATCATTTGCATATTGCAAATGGGTCTGCCTCCAATCTTGATGCCACTTTCTTCTTAATAAAGTCCAGCTTCCCAGATTGTTTGCTTAGCATATATACTGAATAAACATAGTGAAAAGATACAACCCCAAGGCATACTTTTCCTAGTTTTAAACCAAGCAGAAAACTTTTTTCTGTTCGAATTGTCTCTTGGTCTATGGCAACTAACAACAACAACAACAAACACTCCACACCACCTTACATTTATGCCTGCTTTTCTTGATAGTCTTTCCATATGTACTCATCTTTGTGGTTGCATTTCATATTTCTCTAAACATTTAACTCCGTTTTTCTGTTTCCTTGGGAAACAATATTTCTGCTCTGACCCATAGTAACTTGCCTTAGTGTATGTTTACTGAATCTGTTATTGTGAGTTCATCACATGATCTTAATCAGACACTCTTGAGCCTTCCTCCTGAGAAGGTTTGCTTCTACTTCTTCACAGAGCCAGCAGGTACCTATGTCTTAAAGCCTCATGTTTTCTAAGGATGTTGGCTTAATTCGGTGTTCTTGGCTCAATGCCCCTTTCTACTAAACCATGATTCAGAATCCTGAAAGCAACGTAGCCATCAGCATCTGCCTCCTAGCAACCCTGCCTCTGCTTATTGTTTGGGGGGAGTAGTTTGCACGTTCCTTTATCACTGTGAGACAGGCAAGACCTCAAGAACTGTGTCTTATGAAGAATATAAATACTCTACAGACAGTATTTAAAAACATGCTAGAAAAAGACTCCTGGCCTTCTTTTTGTTGACCTTGTATTTATATTTTCTGCTTTAATATAGATAGCTAAGTGAAGTTTTGCTGTATGTTGTTTTGTTGTTTTTGTGTGCCATTGAGGCAGTTTTGACTCACAGTGATACTGTACAGAGTTTCCAAGAGCAGTTGGTGGGTTTGAACTGCCCACGTTGCAATGATCAGTCCAGTGCTTGTCCTACAATGCCACACCAGAGAAATCATACCCTATGTAAGGGTGGTGATGGTGGTGGTTATGTGCCATGGAGTCAGTTTCAACTCATAGATGTAACCCTGTACAGGGTTTCTGAGACGAGAGCAGAAAGTCTCATCTTTCTACCCCAGAGCAGCTAGTAGTTTTGAACTACTGACCTTGCCCAACTTGTAACCCACTATGCTACTAGAGCTCCTTTTGTAAGGGGTTTGTTGTTGTTGTTAAGTGTCGTCGAGTCGGTACTGACTTATAGCGACCCTGTACAGTGTTTCCAAGGCTGTAAATCTTTAAAGGAGCAGAAAGCCTCATCTTTCTCCCATGGAGCAGTTGGTAGTTTCGAGCTGCTGACCTTAAGGTTCGCAGCCCGATTTGTAACCACTATGTTACCAGAGCTCCTCCTCTGTAAGGGGTAGTTAGTTTTTAAAAGTTCCTTACAAATTAGTCTCCTTTATTCTATCTATTTTGCACACAAAATAGGATCTGTTCTTAGTTTCATCCTTACAATACTTCTCTATTCAAAAAGTCCTAAGTAAAGCACCATTTAAGGTGAAACTATTGGTCTCTTCCTATCTGTTGCCAAAAGAGTGAAGAAAAATCAAAGACACATGGAAATAATTAGTTCAAAGGACTAATCAACTACACAAACCTCAGTCTCCATGACCCTGAGACCAGGAGAACTAGATGGTGCTTGGCTATTACTGTGGATCGCTCTCAGAGGGATCACAATAGGAGGTGCTGGCAAGAATGGGAGAAAAATATGAAACCTCAAAACCATAAAAAATGATCTGATAGAGACCGGTAGAACCCCTGAGACTGTGGCCCTTAGAAACCCTTCAGGCCTGGAACTGAACTCACCCCCATGAATCAACTTTCAGACTACCAGACATGTCTATAAGGTGAATATTAACAGAAGAGAGGTATGCACGCCTTAGAATAAGATCAAATGGGCATCATGTGCCCAGGCATAAAGCTCAGAAATCAGGATGGGATATGCGAGAAGGAATATGGAAACAATAAATGCAGGGGGAGTGGAAAGAGTGCTGCTATATTGTGGGGATTACAATCAAAATGTGTATGGATTGTTAGATGGAAAACCAATTTGCTATGTAAACTTTAATCAAAACACAGTAATGAAAAACCTCCTAAGTAATCTAAATGAAGCATTGTACCTATATATTTCAATAGCTTGCATATCTTCATCATCAAATTCATCTTCAGCTTCCTTCAACTGTGCAAGAGTCATCTTTTCATATGGTTTAACTAAAACACAAATTGGTAGAAAATTTAATTGCCTAAAAACAATTATTACTTTACAGTTACATATCTTGAAAAAAAACAAAAACAAAACACCAAACTTTGATATATGGATATCAAGGATCTTGCTTAACAACCCTGAAACAGTCAGCTACAAGATATTTTTAAATGTTGGAAAAACTGCAATATTAAAGTGTTAACCACTTTCTTAAAGTTTGTAGAATTGCCAGAATACATCTAAAAGAAAAAGTGAAAATCAATTAGACCCCATAAATGGAACTTTCTCCATATACCTGAAAGGCTTGACAAATGATACTATGTAGAATAACCTGAGTGGAAGGGAATAATGAGCTAGATGAATATGCTGGGAGAAAAAGTTCATGGAGTTAGAATATTCCAGCAGTTATGAACGGGCACTGACTTTCATTATGCAATTTAGTCATTTTAGGTGACAGCACCATAATTTTGAAAGTACTATGTGTAGGGCTTTAATTAAATGAGTTTAGTGTTCTCTCTCCTGCTAAGTTCATGAAATAGTCCATTATTATTATAACTGTAGTATTCTTTTCAGTCAGCCCACCAAATGCATAACTATACCCATTGCTTCTTTCTGTAAGCGTAAAACCATTTCTTCAATTTCATCTTTTGGTTCTTCTTTTGGAGGAAGAATGCCAAAGTCTCTTAAAATTTCATTCCATTCTGTGTCTTCATTTGGATCCTAAACAGACAAACATTAAAATTTTTTATTGAAATAATTGGATATTTTAATACATTTGTGCAAAACTGACATGTAGCAAGGAGTTCCAGAAAGATGGTGGACTAAGCAGATATGCTACACAGACTGTCTACAACAAAGATATGAGTGACCAGATGAAACAGATATCAATGATAATCCTGGAATCCTGGACTTCAGAGGAAAGGATATAGCTGTGGATTGAATACTGTTTAGGAGAAGAAGCTGATCAGGGTTGGTGAGAAAGGAAACAGACAAGTGACTGCCAGCTAGCCTGTCTTGGTGCAACTATACTGAACTTTTGCAAGTAGCATTGGATCTAGATGGTGGTCTGATGGGACAGATGTTTACCATAGCTGGTGATAAGAAGGGTTAGATTCTCTCTCGTTCCACACACTCCTTTCATTACTGGAGGTGGGGCCAGTCCCTATTCTGCCTGAGGTCAGAGCTGTGCCATTGTGAGTTGGGTGCCGGGAGCACCAGCCAGTGCTTGAAGGTAGGTGAACTCTGCTTCTTTACACCTGCAAAATGCATAGAGTTGGTCTTCGGCCATCCCCAGATTAGCAGAAACTCTCATAACCAGTCACCCTGCTCCCAGTTTCCCTCTGTGCTTCAAAGAGTTCCCTCTGGGAAAAGAGACTCTGACCTCAGTCCCCATTAGAGACTAAACAAACTGCTCTGGATTAGATGCTACGACCACAGACAACACTTAGATCTCTAGGAACTCCATGTAGGACCAGGCACACCACCTTCTCATTCCTCCCTCTCTTACCTAATAGCTCCTTGACTGGCAGGAGCCCCCATAGTTTTCTTCTCTCTGGGTCTCGCTCCTGCCATAGTTTTTCCTATCATTGTTTTATTTTTTCCCTCCTTCTTCTCATTCCTTTCCCTTGTTTTTATGCTTTCTTTCTCTATTTTCCTTTTTTTTTTTTTTGTATCTTCTCTTCTTTTCCTTCTTCTTCATTCTTTGTTTTTACCTCTTGATTTTCCTTCATTGTTCTTTTATCTTGGTGTGGTGCTGTAGTATTAGCACTGGACTAACCACAAGGTTGGTGGTTCAAACCCACCAGCCATTCCTTGGAAACCCTATACAGGGTCGCTATGAGTCAGAACTGATTTGATAGCACTTAACAACTACAAATTCTTTTATCTTTATCTCTTTTCTTTTTCCCTCTCTAGTTTTACTGTGTTTTTTTCTTCTTTTGATTTTATCTTCTGTTTTATTTTATTTTCCTTTTTTTCTCTTTTTAGTAATTATTTTCTTGTTGTTGTCTGGCTTTTTTCGTCTTCTTTCCTTTGTTATTTTATTTCTTTGCAGCTGTTTGTTTTGTTTGTGCATTTGTTGTTGTTGTTAAGTGCTGTCAGGTCAGTCCTGACAGATAACACCCCTATATAGGGTTTCCAAGGAGGGGCTGATGAGTTTGAACCACTGACTTTATGGTTCAAACCGACCTTTCCAGTTTAGTGCTTTAGTCTACAGCCAAACCAGGAATCCTTGTTTATGTGTAAGTATGTGCATTTTCTTCTTGCCCTACCCAATGAGAAACCGCAACAGTGCCCATTCAGCCCAGTCAGAACTATATCCTCTGCAGACCCACCCATTGGGGAAGAGCCATGACCAGCTTCTATAACACCTGATCAATGACAGACAGTAGCCACCACCAACCAAACCCACCTGAACTGTGGGTGAATGGAGTGAATGGAGAACTGCACACATGCTTCCATTCCCTAATTACACCCACCAGGAGGCAAGTGATGAGTGCCTAAGAACACACCAGCATACAATTATCAACTAAATAAAAATACAATGAAAAAAATACAAATACAATGATACCACAATGTCTCAAAGACAACAGGCAATTTCAGTTCACACTACGAAACAAGATAGAGTGGTTCAAACAAGTGAGCAAGATGGAGAGTCAGAAAACATTTCTGAGGAAGAATTGAAACTACCTGAAAAAGATTTCAAAAGAAAAATATTCAGGTATCTTCAAGGCATGAGAGAAAAATTAAGAAAACAGCATATGAAAGTAAGGAGAACATAGAACTTTAGAAGAATTCAGGAAAGCACTAGTAAAACAAACAAAATAAGCAATACAAAATCTGCAAATTGATAATAAATACTCAGATTTCAGAAGTGGAAAATAAGTTTAAAGGGCAAAGGAATAGATTTGAATCAATGGAAGGCTGAATTAGTGAATATGATGACAAATCTCACATTACTAGTCTGTGTTCAGAAGAATAATCAAAAAAAAAAAGAAAGAAAAAAAATCTGAAGAAAGCCTAATATTTATGTGGGACACCATCAAGAGGAATAACTTATAAGTGATCAGAATTCTAGAACAGGAAGTTGTTGTTGTTGTTAAGTGCCATTGAGTCAGTTCCAACCCATAGGGACCCTGAATAGGGTTTCTGAGGCTGTAAATCTTTATGGGAGCAGAAAGCCTCATCTTCCTCCCGTGGAGCAGCTGGTAGTTTCGAACTGCTGACCTTGTGGTTCACAGCCCAATTCGTAACCACTATGCTACCAGAGCTCCTTAGAACAGAAAGAGAGGGGGGGAAAAAGCACAGAGAAAATTGTCAAAGAGGTGTTGGAAGAAAACTTCTGTAACATCATGAAAAACAAGAAGAATTCAAGAAACTGAATGAACTCCAAACAGGATAGACCCTGAAAGAAAATAACCAGGTATATCATAATCAAGGTAAGGTGGAGGGTCAGAGAAAAAGAAGAAGACCCTCAGAGAGATGGTTTGGCAAAGTGGCAGCAAGCATCAATGGGCTCAAGCGTGGCAACAATTGTGAGGTTGGCACAGGACCAGGCAGTGTTTTGTTCTGTTGTGCATAGGGTTGCGATGAGTTGGTACCAAGTTGATGGCACCTAACAACAACCACAAATCATAATCAAACTTTCCAAAACCAAAGACAAGGAAAAAAATCCCAAGATCAGCTCAGGAAAAATGAAAAGTTACCTAAAAAGGAGAACCAATAAGACTAAACTCTGATTTCCTAGAAGAAATCATGTAGAGACTAAAGGGTAATGGGATGACATATATAAAACTCTGAAAGAAAAAAATTGCCAACCAAGAATCTAATACACAGCAAAACTGTCACTCAAATACAAAATTAGGACATTTCTAGATAGTCAGAAATTAAAGAAATTTGTAAAAATCAGATCAAACTTACAAAAAATACTAACGGGAGTTATTCAGACAAGAACCAACAACAACAGACAGCAACTGGATATTAGCATACATGACAACATCACCCAGAAGTCAATCAGATATGTTGTTAAGTGCTGTCGAATAGGTTCCGACTCATAGCAACTCTATACAGAGTTTCTGAGGTTGTAAATTTGCAGAAGAGGAAAGCCTTATCTTTCTCCAATGGACCAAATGGTGAGCTAAACTGCTGCCCTTGTGGTTCAAAGCCCATTGCTTATCCTACAGTGCCACTTCACTCTGTTTACTTTAGAAACAAACCTTTGTTGTTGTGACGTGCCATCAAGTCAGTACTGACTCATAGTGGACTTGTGTAGGGTTTCTAAGAAACAGCTAATGAGCTTGAACCGCTGATCTTGTAGTTCAAAGTGGCCTTGCAGTATAGCACATTAACCCACAGCATCATACCAGGACTTAGAAGATTGAAAATAGGGAATCAAATATATAAGTGTATAATGAAGACAACTATAAAGCAAAAAGAAGAAAATAGTGTAGTTATAAAACTTCCAAATGGTGAGGAAGTCAAGTAAATTTAAAGACAAAAAAGACTGCTTTAAATTGGAGGGGGGGGAATAATAAATTACAGGGTTACCTCAAAGAAAATGAATAAACTACATCAGGAAAATTATGAAGATTTTGTAAACATTAAAACAACAGCAATGAAGAAAATGACAAGAAAACCAATAAACACAATGAATTCAGCAGAGAAAATTATGTGGAACTAAGAAGCCAGCAGCACCACAAGACACACACAGCAAAATGGCAGCAAACAATTCATATCTATATATGATCACATTGGACATGAATGGACTTAACGCACCAGTGAAGAGACAGAGAGTTAAAAAAAAAGAGAGAGAGAGTAGCAGAATGGGTAAGAAAACAGGATCTTTCAATAATCTATTTACAAGAGACATACCTTACATTTAAAGACACAAACAGACTAAAAAAATCAAAGGATGGAAAAAAAATATATCAAGTTAATGCACAAAGTGAGCAGGAGTGACGATTTAAATCTCTAATAAGATAGACTTTAAGGCAAAAACTAGCATAAGGCACAAAGGACACTCTATCATGATTAAAGGGTC